AATACTAATTTTAAATTTAATTTCTAATTCACACTCACCATAAAATTTAACTAAATGTATCATAATCAAAACAAGGGTGCAAATTGTATCCAATATCACATTAATTCAAATAATTATACTATAATAAATCAATTAAAAGTCTAAAAAATATATAATGCACTAACCTATTGTAGACCTCCCAATAAGCGTATCCTACAATAACAATGACGAATGGAGACTGGAACGCGAACTTGGTGACACACAAATATGCTTCAATGGAGTTGTAATACCCAATTGAGTAGTGAGAGCAAGAGAATGAGAGAGATTGAAGACACAGAGGGAAATGGAGAGAACCCACAGCAAGTGGGAAGCACAAAGTGAGCAAGAAGGAGATAATGTACCTTTAGTTTAATGGAAGACGCAGAGAGTGAGAAGGAGAGCGTAGATAGCGACAAAAAACGTAGAGATAGAGAGTGCAAGGTTGAAGAAAATGGGTTTAGGATTTTTAAAAATATGACTTTAGATAGCGGTTCGTCAAATAACTGCTATCTAAACTACATTTATTATAGCAGTTCTATTGTTGAATTATTGGCAAGCGTACCAAATTTATCAATCGCAGTATAGTATTTCGATAAAATAAAAGTCGATCCTACGAGGAACAGTTTCAATGAAAATTCCCAATTATGCTTACTAAGTATATTAAACAGATTGGGTTTTGCAAATAAGAGTTGAGTTGGATTTAAATGACAAAGAACTGTAAATTATTGAGAAAATATCAATTAAAGGTACTTAGGATTGGTTTCTTTCCTTATCCCTCTTTTGTAATGATTATGTCAATTAAGAACGTCAATTAACCTAACAATGTTGATGTCACCTACTCAAATCGTCCATGTTGATTCCTCACACATGAAATTCATAAGAAAACCTAATAAATGTTGATTCCTCACACAATTAACAGATTTTCCAGCATTAGGTTAGGGTGTTTAAGCAATTGATACATTCATTTCATTCCTGACAATTAACGTAACAAATATTCTTATCGTGATCTAGGGTTCAAGATATATTTTCCAATCATACCTCAAACAATCAAGAATAAATCATTCCAAAGCATAAAGGATAAGAATAATAACATCAAAGCATAGATTAATATCTCAAAATATCACCATGATACAAAAGAGTTCAAAGGAAGTGCACCGAATCCTAAGAGAATGAAGTTAGTCACTCATGTTGGTCATTACAATGCTTCAATTGATGATGAAGAATTGATGAAGATTGGACAAAACCCTAACAGTAGTCGTGTCTCCTCCTCTCCAAGACTGCTTCTTTTCTCAAAACACATCTTATCTTTTTATAAGAGAATTTGAGTCGGGCCTCGCATCATTCATTTGCTTAAGCGTTCTTCTTTCTTTCAATTTTACTCCAATTATGTTGACAATTATGCTCATTACTCTTGTATCAAGGTATTCTCAAATTCATCATATATTGGGAGAAAAATATATTAGAATTAACATAAGTTAAGTGGTTTCATAACAATTCAAGGCATAATTATATCAACTTTTTACCACTTAACATCTACGAAATAACCGTTATCTAAAGTTATGATAACGGTTCCACGTGTCAACCGCTCTTTAAAGCTATGACATTAGATAGCGGTTATCACACAACCGCTACTATAAATTACTTTAGAAAGCGGTTTTTTTCTGAACAGTTATTAAAACATACTTTAGAGAATGTTTTACTCCTAACCGTTATCTAATATGTATATTTAAAAGCGATTTTTGTTAACCGTTATTTAAAGTGTCGTCACAAAAGTCTCTTTCTATTGTAGTGATGAAAAACCCAATGAGTCAATTTCAGTTAATAACGAATATACTGATGTTGAGAAAGAAAGGAAGAAAGCAACAGTTTCTACATCCAAAGTTTCTATATCATTAAAAAAATTAAAAAAATATGAGTTAGTGAGTCAACCCACTTAACCCACCAACCCGTGGTGGGTTTAATAGGGTTGCAAAATTTTTGCTTGTTAAAAAGTGAGTCCGGTTGAGCTCACATATTTTCAGCTCAACCCATGGTGAGCCAACCCGTGTGAGCCAGGTTGACTCACTTGACACCCTTACTTTTAAAAGCTTAAAAATATTAACCTCAATTGAGATATATTAGGCAAATTATTGTTACCTTTCCTCAAGATTTTTTTTTCCTTAAACTCAGGTTTTAAAGCGTATTGTTTTATTTTTAAAGTCTAGATAAAGGAGAAGAATTGAATTGTGAACTGTTTTAATTAAAATACACCAAAGCAAAATGACTCGTAACATGGTTAAAAAATATATATATTAAATATCAATTATAATTTTTCTTCATGGTTGTGTTTCTTGTCGTAAAAAAATCCTTCAGAATTTGACCGAGTATAATTCAAGTAAGAAAATCTAGTTATAATTTAACCTTAAATTTCTTTTTAATGGGATGTTTTGTTTTGAATTTATAATTATTGGGTCATGGTCTAATATTTTATTATTATGTTCATTATCTTCATTTATTTGGACATCATATAATCCCTAGTATCAAGTTATAAATATTGAGGCTAAAGATAGGTTAAACAATCTTACGGATCCAACCAATAAGATTGGTCATGTTTTTGTTATCACTACAAGAATTTTACATATTAGCTATGACACATTCCGTAGCTATTTTATAACTAATCTCTCGCTGATACATTTTGTTACAGATTAGTTACGGAGTAGTTATGAAATATTTTGTCGCTAAATCCAAGTTGCTAATTAGATAGAGATGTATTCTCTCTCAAATTTGTAACAAATTTTGTCATCAATCTGTCGCTAAGCTCCTCGCTAATTTAAGTGATGAAATTTTGTCTTTCTCTAACTAATTGATCTCCTAAATTTCTAGTTAACTTGTAGTTAATCCCTCGCAATTTTTCTCTCGTTAATCCGTAGTTAATTCTTCGTAATTTCTCTCTCGTTAATTCGTAGCTAATCCTTCACAATTTTTCTATCACTAATTTGTAGTTAATCCCTCACAATTTATCTATAGCTGACCTGTAGTTAATCCTTCGCAATTTCGCTCTCGCTAATTTGTAGCTAATCCCTCGCAATTTTTCTATCGCTAATATGTAGTTAATCCCTGACAATTTATCTCTAGCTGATTTGGAATTAATTCCTCGCAATTTCTTCATCGCTAATTCGTAGTTAATCCTTCACAATGTTTCTCTCACTATTTTGTAGCTAATCCCTCATAATTATTTGTCGCTACTATATATCAAAATTATTCTCTCGCTAAACCGTAGTTAATCTCTCGCAATTTTATTTGCAGGTAATTTGCTAATTATTATTGGCGTAGTAGATATTCCTGCTAAGGTATCATCATAACATTATAATATCAAATGTTTAACATTTAAATTATTACTCATATTCTTGAAAAAAAAAATACAAACTTATCAATTTTTAATATAAAAGTATTGTTTAAACATAGTTAAAGTGATGTTTCAAACAATTAAAACATAACAAAAATAATATTTCAACTAAAAAGTTATGTATTTACTAAAAAGTTTTATATCAATACAATTAAAAATAGAAACAAAGTTTTGATTCCTTAAAGTACATTTTTATTCTTATTTCTTAAAGGTAGATAATAAATCTTTCTTAAAAGACTGTATTTCTTCTTGCATTTATTGTTGCATGAGTATCTGTATTTCTGTTTGTGTTTTCATTTGTGCTTACATCAATGTTTGCATATCAATTTGTGCCTACAACTATGTTTTTATCTGCTTTTGTAAATTAGATATCTATATAGCTAAGGTAATGATTTTTTCAGTGAGAGTTATGGTAAGATTTTGGGAAGAGAGACCTTCAATTGATAAAGAGAAATATCAAGATTTTGGGAAGTGAGACTTTAAACAAAATCATTTAAAGAAAGAGGGGTTTGATAACCACATGGGTGGTGCGAACAGTAATCCCATATAGTCGCCCAAATTCAAAACGGACACAGCAACTTCGGTATATTGCAATCCGAAGCCCAATGGCACATACAAAGTATTAACTTTGGAGAATTGTCAAATTGTTATTCCCTTGCCTCAAGATCTTTTACTCAAGCCATAATTACCTTTTTAATCCTATTATTTAATTTAATTTAATTTACACATAATACAACAAACAATCAATAACAATTAATAAAGCTAAAGATGTCAATTTCAATATGAAAGTGTCACAGTTTTTTAGTAATTGAGATACTTAATTAATCTTTGAATCAATCATTTTAAAAGCGGAGAGATTTGATTAAATGATTTATTAATAGAAGAACGAAATTAAATAAATAAATAAAAACCTAAGCCTATACTAATTAAATGATGTTGTGATTGGTTCATTTTTCAATCTACTTACAAATGTGCAATCTTTTATACTTGAAAGCAATGATAACATGCAAGGAACCATTTTTTCTTTGATACACATTGTCATATGAATTGAACGAATAAAACCCATCATCACAAAGACTAATTATCACAAATAAACAAACTAACAAAAGAAAAGATGATTTCCCTTTATTAAACAAACTTTTAATTAATAACAAGAACAGGTTTACACTTGTTTCACCTTACACACAATCTTTATGCACAATTGCAAGCAATCGTACAACTTGAGAGTTAAGAACAACAATCATAATAATCATAAAAGCTAGAGAGCCAATTAGGATTTCTTTCTCCCTAACTAGCTCAAACCATGTTTAATCAACTAACTTACTTCACTTATAACTTTTCTTTTCTTCTTCCACCCTAACAATATCAACCTACATCTTTTTAATTAGGTTAATGCACACTATAAAACATTCATTTGGAACCTAATCATTGTGGGTCGAAATTGTTAGCAAATAGAAAAACTACACTCTAACAATATCATCTTACACCCTTTTTAATTAGGTTAGTTCAGAGTACAAAATGTAGAATCTGAATAACCTAATTTGAGATTTAAAAGGAATGTAAGTGAAAATTGTTGGAGTACAAAGAAGTAGTACTTTCACTTGCACCCACCAGCACCAAACCCTATCCTTCCACCTCCAACATCATACACAACCTCTAGGGTTCTCTGTTGAACGTTTCCAAAAATGGTGACATCACTATCATCACCGTTTGGAGCAAAAGCCAAACAAACTTGCTTTATGCTGGCCACATAGAGTATGCCTTGGGCCTGCAACTCCACTGTGGCAGGGCCACCGAACACAAAGCTTATCTTGGGAATGGAAATCACTTTGTACTCACTGAGATCGTAACACGTGTCCAGTAAGGAGAGCTCGGGAGCAGGGGGGTACTTGGACATGCCCTGGCGGAAGGCGGAGCGGAGGGCGGCATAGGCAGTGGGGGGGAGGCGTGTGATGACGGTGCCCGAGTCGATGATGACACCGCCAGTGGAAAAGAGGGAGGGAGTGAGAGACAGTTTGACACCAGCGACAGTGATGGCGGCGATGTCGAGTTCGTAGAAGGAGGAGCTACGCGAGGTGCTGGACAAGGATGTGTAGACGAGGCGGCGGGAGTTGGCGGCGCCGAAGGTGAGGTAGCCGGTGGAGCTAGAGGTGGAGGGGAGACAGTAGGAGAAGATTTTACCATACTTGGAGGTGGTTTGCTGGACGAAGGAGATGGGGTGGCGGCCAAGGCCGATGAGACCGGCGGAGCCACCGAAGAGGCCTTGGTTGTTCTGGCCACAACCGAAGAGGAAGTTATCGATGACGTCGGTGGCAGTTACCGTGAGGCGTTCACGACTGAAGTAGCCGATAGAGAAGGACTGGTCACCATATTGGATGCCATAGATGCATGCCTTTGTAGACGAAGAACATCCAGGATCATTTCCTACAAAATGATGATGATGAGATGTGAAAATTTTCTCTAAATAAACCCTATACAAAACCATATGATCTCGTGGTTAATTTTCAAACACCCATAAGCATATATATACACAAGAATTCTGAGAACCTTTACCAGTGGCAGAAGAGAGTTGAGTGCAGACTGGAGAAGTGCATGAGATGTTGGAGTATGAAGAAGACTTTGATGGATCAAAGATTACATCTTGTTGCTTGTAACAAGAACGAGCACAAGGTTGACACTGAGTCCAAGTGAGATCACTACCAGTGTCAAAAATGAGTGACAAGTCCCTCTTGGGTGTTCCAAGACCAACCACCACAAAGTAGTTTCCTGACCCGATAAGGCTACCAGACTTGGCTGGCAGGGTTGCTGAATCCAATTCCTTCACACTTTCACCACCACCGCCTAAGTTCTTCGAGATCCTAGAATGGATGTACTTCACCCTTTCTTTGTCTAGATTCAGAATATCACTGTGTGTAACCTTTGTTTCATCATGATTCTGTTGGGAGCATGGCCCATATTTGTGTACCACTTCCAATGATCCTTTTCTTTTGGAATCTGAATCACAAGTAAACAATTAGAGGTGTTAAATCACTCATCATGTTCAAGTAATCATAAAACCTATTTAACATTAATAAATAATAGAATAACTTTGAAAAGAAAGCTACGTGTATTGGAAGCAATGTTTTTCAATGTCAAAATCTTATCTTTGGTTGGTTCAAAAGCACTATAAATTAGTGGGAATACTTATTTATATTCATCCATGCACTGTGTTCTGTTCTATTATTAATTAGGTAAAGCTGCACATATAAATAAAATAGTAAAAAACCAATTTAATCAAGATTAACTTTGTATAAATAAATAAATCTTTTCCAATTTATAGGTATCTTGTTCACACGTTTGTTGCAATGATCACTCAAATATAACTTAAATTCTTTAAATAATTGAAGAAGTTCGTGGGTCACAAAAGTAAACCTATTTATGAGATATAAGATAGTTACATATGACCTAATTTTTTGGTCAATCATTGGGTTTTTTTCAAGTCCCAAATGATATCATGAATGTACTTATAATTGAAGCCTAACTAATTTTTCAATATATTTTGCTGATATAATACTCTTCAAATTATGAAATATATGGTTAAATTAACTTCAAGTTGATGTTATTTTTATGTAGGTGCTTTTACATATGAACCCGTGACAATGAGTCTTATAGTGATAAGGCTAAGTCATATCATATATGATCCGTGACTATACACTAAACATCACTTTCCAATGGGAAAAAAAGGTTAAATGTATAGAACATGTTTAGTAAAACCAGGAGATAAATTAATTGACACCTGAAAAATTAATTAACATAAAATTTAGATTTATGTTGATGAATTAATTGGGTGAACTCAAATTATACGTATTTAGTCAAATTAAATAATTAAATTGAAAATATTTAATAAAATTAACTATTGCATTAGATAAAAGTGTAGAAATAATATTTTATTAGAGCAAGATAGTGTGATAGTATTAAAAGTTATAAACATAAAAAAATGTAAAAGAGAAATTTTAATAATAAAATGATGATAAATAACAATTATTTGGGAGCTTAATTACAATTATAAATGCTACATAAATAGCCTTTTTAAAAATGCTAGAAATTAGAGAAATAAAACCATTTCTCATATTTAAAAAAAAAAACACCCTTGTATTATTAAAGAACCCCTTTTCAAAATATCAGTTTTAATTATTTTATTTTGTATTAAAAATTATATTTTTACTGAAATTTCAATCAATTGCACAAAAGTACCACTTTCACTTAAATTAAAAATTGTCTATGATATGTATAAAAGATATTAATTTTCTAATAACTTATATAATTATTGGATTAAAAAATATGTGAGTGGTGGGTGGGTTTTTGTTTTCCTTTATCCCTATCTTGAATATGTGACCATGTGATATTGGTGGGTTGCATGTGAATATTCTCTATTTCAATTATGTGATGTCAATGACTCGTGCCAAAAGCCAAAGAAAAATACAATAACTTACCTCCCACAATTACCCATTAATTTCCTCTCTCTTTCCTCCCAAATTTCCAATTTTTTCACATAATACTAACATATCTAAAAGAGTTGCTATCCAATTACTTTAAAAAAAATTTAAATATTTTATCGTAAGTCACATATCTAAATTACTTAAAATTTGATAAAATTATTTAAAATAAAAAAAATAATTATATTAATAATTTAACTGTAAAATTGTCATCATGCATGCATGTAAAAAGAAAAAATCTCCATTTAAAGTAGTTTAAGATAGAAAATACGTGAAAACCATTGAATTTGTTAGCTTATTCCATTTCTAAATATCGATAGAGAAAACTACTGATTTAATATATCAAATTAGACAAAACTTGTATATAATCTTCCTCTCAACTGTTACTCTAAATGGTAACAAAAGGAGTTGTAATTGTGAGGAGAGAAGATTATATAATGTAAGAAAGTTGAAGTGAAATTGAATTGACCTTGGGTTGAAGAGGTGCAAGAGGATGATGGAAGAAGAGAGTTGAGGTGAAGAAGATGAAGATGGTTGATTTCTGGATCCTTCCTTGTTGGCTGAGAGGCATGGCTGTTTTCCAAGGAGGAGAAGAAGAAGAAAAGTGGAAGAAGAGAAGAAAAAAGAAGAGAAGAAGAGATTTGAATGGCCATGGCAAGAGGTAAGAGAATGATGATAAATAGCTAAGCTTTAGCTACCTAGCTATGCAGCATACACATTCACTCTGTCGTGATCTTCGTTCGCCCTTTATATATATATATATATATATATATATATATATATATATACCCAGTTGCATCAATGTGGGGTCCAATCAATTATAGATTATCAATTCTTGCACGTCATTGGCTAAATATGTAACAAACAACATTAATTTATGTTCAACTTTTTCTTTTCTTTTTTATTCTGGGTTTCTTTAAACAAGATTTTATGTCTGGTGTTAGAAAAATTTCAGTTATAAGAATTTCTTCGAAAATAAGAAGAAAAGAAATTGTGGAGAGTGAAAATTAAATAAATAAAATAGAAAATACTTTTATTCGTTTGTCATAAAATTAGTATGAAAAGATTTATTTTAAAAAATAATAAATAATTAAATATTCATTTTATTATAAAATTACTCATATAACTATTAGTTTATTTTTTATTAATAAAATAACTTTTTAAATTAATATCTATTTATTTAATAATATATACTTTGATATATAAAACAAAGTTATTATTATTATTATTAAACTATTTTTTTATGATTAATTCAGTTTAAATTAATAAAAATTATTTAAAATTAAATAATTATACCATTACAAAGTTATTTATATAATTATTTTCAAAAAATATAAAATATTATTAATTTTGGAAAATATTATTTTAATTTTAATTTTTGTACTGTTTTTTCTTATATGTAAATGGAAAATAGAATAGATGAAACAAGTGAAAAATATATTCCTTATTAAGGTAAATATTGTTTTTTATTATTTTTAATAAATGTATTAATTTTTTTTCACTAATACCTTTATTATTTTGATATTCTTCTCAATAAAAATATCTTAAATAACTTATTATCTCTTATCTATATAATAAATACAATTAAAAAAATATACTAATATAATTGATAAGAGAATAATTATATAATTTTAAATTTTACAATAAACATTTTTCTACTCAAAATATCATATATTGAACAAAAATTATTTCTTTTTATTTTGTTCTCCTAAGTTTTACTTTCGAATATTTTATTATTCAAATAACTGATCATAAAAGCAACCAATTAGGTTATTGAATGAAAAAAAAAAAAAAAGTAACCATTAATAAAACTAACAAACGTTGTAGTTACAGAAAAAGTATGAAATAGCGCTTATTATTATTGTTTAGACAGAATTTGACTAAATTGACGAAACGAAAATAGTACAGAAGAGTGGTACGCGTCATATTGAACTATAATGAAGGAAATTAAGAACATTAATGTTATGTGGGTCCCCTTTTCAAATTTTCTTTATTCAAATCTTTGAATATTTCACTGCTACATGTGATTAATAAATGATTTTGGTGAAAAGAAAATAACATTAATGTCATTCACACTTAATGACATGTACACAATACTCTCATAAAGGGATCAAATAACACTAATTTATATTAAAAGATAAAGATATAATTGATAAAAAGATACTTAATATAATATTAAATTTCACAAATAAATAAATAAATAACCTATTTCTAAGATTTTGATAATTGAAAAAATGCAAAAGGAGTTTTTTTTTTATCATATAATTTGTGTCATAAAATTTTATATTAATATAAATTTTCTCACTATCCCGTTTATATATATAATGAAATAAAATAAAGGATTTATTTTTATTTTCAAATTTTCACCTTCTAAACTAAGATTAAGTTGAGCTAATTTAAATTATTATATTATAAAAATACCTGATTCTCTATATTAAATATAAATTCACTTTATGAATATTTATTGATCGAATAATAAGAAACATATATGGTTTCTAAAATAATATTTCAAATTTAAGTATTTAAAATTAAAAAAAAATATATGATAAGGACATTATTTTCAAAAGTGAAATCATTATATTGTCTCTAATTACAACCCAAGTAAATAATCCTATTATATAAAATCCAAATCAACTTGGGTAATTGACTATTTTTTAAACAAGAAATTAATAAAAAAACAAATTTTTAATCAATGAATAACTCTGCTTTCGGAGTATTTTTTTTAATCGATTAATAAAAGTAATTAATGTTCACATATACATAAAAAGAATACATAGAGGAATCATTTTCTTCTTGTTTTTTAATTGATTGGGTTGTTAATAGAGAAAGGTATTTGTGGTACGTAGAATCCACTACGTTGAATGGAAGTGCATGACTCGTGATCCTCCAATCTTTTTGCCTTACCTTCACGAGAATGGAGAGATATTGATTAAATAATTACGTTCTTCAAAAATATTATTATCATTTTGAACACAAGGGTTGGTTACTTCTCAATTTCCATGCCTCCCACTTTTATGAACCTTCGAGGAATTGACCTCTAAACAAATATGTACTTATTCTTTCCTCTTTAATGGTAGATTAGTGAGTTTGGCCTAATTCTCCATTACTAAAATTTTCAAAACAAATCCACGTTATAATATTTAAAATATTTAAATATCAACTCATCTGAGAAATGCGAAAATTACCCTAATATTTATTCATAAATAAAAATAAAATATCTCATAGAGCAATTATGATAAGTTACCTTTATATTATATAAATATGATTAGTATCTCAATTATTTGAAATTTGTGAGAGACGGACTAACCCATACAAGATTTATGGTTGAATATTTTAACTTTATCTCTATACATACAGGTTTGTAGGTTGGTTTGCATAATAATTAAAAAAAAATAATCTTTTACACATTATACATTATACATTATATCATATCATCTTTCTATAATTTTAATTCATAAAAATTAAAATAAAATATAATAATAATTTTTTTATAATGAAAAAAATTAATTATTATAAAATTTAATTGAATATGTAATTTCTTTTTTTCTTAACTTTATAACTTCTCAAAACTTTAATATGAATATTAGTTGTATTTTGTATTTATAAAATTCTTGTGGTTCGAGGACGTAATTAATCGGTAAACGAGAAAATGTTAGAGCCCAGAACTTTATCCTATAACGGATAGACAAGAAGAAACAATATCTGATCGAATCAATTCAATCTAATTAGGTCTGTCAAACCTTTTATGTCGAAAAGAGGTCCGAATTTAGAAATTCTCCCAAACGGAATATCAGGATTAAACACGGAGGCTAAGATGATCTTGTATTTCAGGATCTCATGGAAAAAGTAGAAAGGTCATCAAAGAAGTCTGTTGTAGAATAACTAAAATTCTCAAAGAGTGGTATCATAATCTCGGAGTTGTGCGGCAAAATCAGTTCTATGAATTAGGACGAATAATGTTTCATCGTAAAAGGATGATCATGCAAGATTTATTGCATGATCTTATAACCTATAAATAATCTAATGGTAGAGGGTGGCTGATAGTGTATCAACTACCTGCTTAGCCTAAAGAACAAATATGTCGCATTCTTCCTACTGAGTTATAATCAGAACTGAAGACGATAACTGGATCATACGAGTCTTGTTTATGGGGTGAAGGTAGTAGATCTTTAAAAGAAAAATAATTAATATAAAATTTTATCACTAATGATAACTTAAAATTAACAAATAATCATACACTAAATTAACCTAAAAATATATTAAAAAAAAAATCCGACTGGACCTGGCCCTCACTGTGAACCCCCGTTAGCATCCTGAGGATGAAAGATATTTCGATATCTACACGCCTACAATATTTGGGCACTAAAGTTTTAAGATTATATATGATATTGGTAAGATTCTACCTAATTTTTCTATGAAACTATTTGGACAAATCTTTATATAAGTTTTTCCTTACAATGGAAAATAATAAAAATTTAAAGAAGTTATACAAAAGAGTTTTTACAAATTAATTTATTTATAAGCTAATTATAATTTATATATATTTATTGTTGGGTTCACACTATGAAGTCAATTATATACATCACTTCATTAATTGACTCCATTGGATGAAAGCACTTTTCTTGACTTGATGTACATACTCCAATGTTAATTCATGGAGTACTTATTTAATAGTTTATGGTGTATTATTTGATAATTGAATTAGAGCATTTTCATGAAGCTTTATTGAAACATATTAGAATTCAACTTTTTGCTATCCTAGTCATCTAAATTTCAACATTATTTTTTAGATAAACACAATTTAGAGAATCTGCTTCACTTCTTAAATCTTGCTAAAGTTCTTCCACTAAATCCAATCATGTTGGTGCCAAGTCCATTTTATATATATAGTGCATAATGTGGTTTTGCTTTAATAATAATAATAATAATTAATATATCGTATTTTTTAATCCAAAAATGTTATCCCATGATTTATGTCACCTTCCATATTTTTCAATTGGCAATGTTATATGTAGTCAATTGCCGTCTACCACTTGGGGTTACTATAATATTTAATCAAAAGTCTATATAATTAGTATTATGGGAATTTATAATCGTTAAAATGAGATTACAGGAAACATTGTTTAACGTGAAAAGGTTTTTATTACTTACAAAAAAAATTAAATTCAAAATACCTTTTATATATATATTAAACAAATTGGTAACATAAAGAATTCAACCAGATATTTGATAACTTTTTCATTGGTGATGGGTATAAGACTTTAAGTGAATTAGGACAAATTACTTTTGAAATATTATAAGATTAGGGGGCAAATATATCAAATTAAAGGAGAAAAAATAAAATAAAAATTAGTTATTTAGTAATAATTTTAACAAAATTAGGGGCATATGTATACTCTTTTATATATATAGAAAGAGAGAGGTATGTTATTGTGTTATGTTATCGCTTAGGAGTCGAGGTTAAAGGTATCATTCTTCTTTTTTAATTCACTGAAATGTCTTTTAAAGATAAAATCATGATAGACGAGAGCTTCAAAACAGATAATATTTCAGATGTGAGAATTATCATAACGAACGTGAAGCTGAGATACTTTCATTCCTAAATGACATGTTGATGTTCATTATGGAATCGAGAGTCCTCTGTTTATATCTCATAATCCTCGACTGAGAGACTATGTTATGATATATTAATGAATTGGAATTTTGAGACGAAGAAAAATTTATATAAGTGATAAGTGATTCTCTGTAACTTGAATTAATTACATTAATTTACATTCTCTTTCCATCAACTCAATACAATTAGAGTTTATATGCAAGAAAATCTGACTTAAATAAATAAATATAGAGATATTAAGTTTGAAGAGGAAAGTGTTAAGGAACAAATCAACTTAAAAGATGGGCAACAAGTTAAGGGCATATAAACAAACAAATAAATTTTATAAGTATCGAAGTTTGTGTTTGTATCAGTGGGTGTTTTGTTGGATGTATTTAGGGTTTGTAGGGAGTTGTGTGTCTGAGTTGTCATTATCTACACCACCAAAATGTGAGTAGCGAGCAACTAGCAAGCATGTGGTGGGTCTCACAAAGCTTCTTCCATTCACACATAATTGGAATCTTTATTGCTTGTGGACCACACCACAATAATTAGTTCTTGAAAATTGTTGTTTGCTGAATGGCTGCAAAATACCACTATCACTTCAGAGAGATAACAATAACAATAATAATAATAACAATAATAATAATAATAATAATAATCAAAATAATAATATTTTGATGTGATTTGTTGGGTGTAGGCCACAATACTCACTTTCTTGGGGTAGTGGAAGAAAGCTGGAATCTACACAAAACCTCACATTCACAAACATGCATTCAAGGAGAGGAAGAAGCTACTCTCAACTTGACTTTTTCTTTTTCTTTTTTTTATGTTATTGCCATTTTGATTATAATTATAACATTCGAAAGGGTTTTGGCCAAAAAATGTAAAAATTAAAGGGTTCCATTTTTTTAGTTTTCAACGTTCTTGTCTGTTCCCCCACCTGTGACTCCATAAAAAAGAAACTCGTAAGAATTGATGTTAATGGCTGAAAAACTTATCAATCTAACAACTCATAAAAGCTTTGATTGGACTTTGAACAAAATAGAAAGCAACAAAATAGGTTATTAGAAGCATGTTCTTATGCCATTGATTGTGGCGTGATAACATGCCTAACTTCCATCTCCAACCAAAGCCAAGTAATCTGTGTTACATGATATCAACAAAATTAATTCCCAGTAACTTTTAGGTAAAAGCAATTAATGGCTTCATGTGTACTTAACAAGAACACGGAGTCAAAAATTAAGAACCCAAATTTCTCGTCATTTCAAACAACCTTCTCCTCACATTTTTAGAACATTTCATCTGGGTTTTTACTTATTACTTAAACTTCAAGTTAAGTAATGCTATTTAATAAATTTTTTTATAAGATATATAGGTTTTGAAGGAGAGAGATTCACGAAGACAATAATTTACCAACAATATTGAACGAGAAATACATAACTTGTCGTAATTTTTTTTTTTTTTTTAGGTTTTTATCTAAAGTTAGTTTTCACCTCGATGATATATTTGAATTTGTTACTTAGGTGTTGTGATTCGTCTAAATTTGTGTTTTAACTGATTATTTTGTTTTCTTTTTATTATACTTGAGTTTAAATATCTATTTTGTACTTTCATTAATTTTATTTTTTTATTGTCGATAAAAAAACTATATATTGTAAAATTTATAAAATTAAGTTAAGAATTGATGCAGATAGGTTTGACGTAAAGTAATGAAAATTATAAATTCCTAACAACCCATCTCTATCTATTTGAACAGATTGATTCCTTCGTATTAAAGACAAGAATCAATTAGTCCATAATTAATCTCCTTCCTATCCTAAACCCAACTAATTGTGTAATATACGAAATTGAAAACTAAATTTTCAAATATTGTAAAATTTAATCACCAAAGATTGGTGTGATTATTATTTTATGAATGTAACATGTAATTTGTTAGTGTCTTACGAATCTTAACATGATTGTGCGCAGGTCAATTTCAAGGTTGCGTGAATCGTAGGTTTGTTGTGTTTGTTTGCATTCCAGCATCCAATTTAACGCCCATTATTACCAGAAAAATATGAGTAGATAATGTTTGTTTGGATAATTTTGTTTTTGGAATAAATTATAAATTAAAATTAATTTATCAGTGATGTAATATATAAAAACCTTTTCATATAATTTTTTTAATTATTTTATATATAAATTTTTCTTTTTATTTTACAAAAATTATTCTATTTAATTTTATCTTATAAAAGAGGTATCTACATAACACTACTTTAAATTTTAAAATTTAATATTATATTTAGGAAGTAAAATAACTTAATGATTTTCGAAACGTTGAATATTTTCGATCAACTAACATAGAGATATTCTTAACGAATGAAACATAAATCTAACAGTACTTTTAATAAAAAATTTAAAAATTAAATTATAAATTTTTCTGTTAAGTTTTTTCGAAACTAATATGAAAAAATTCTTAATAAATCAGACACAAATTAATTATACTATGACATTGTTATTAACTTAACATCTTAACATTATAAATTTTTTTCCCTTATATATTATTCAACTTTCTTATTTTTAAATATTAGATTATATAAAATATTATTTAATTAGGATGGTAAAATAATTTTAGATTTTAATATACTTTCTTTTAATTTTTATTTTTATTTTTTATCACTGCAATATCTAATTTTACTCTCAGTTTTACAATAACATATTCTCGTATTCCAGTGATATTTCATTAGGTCTATCACGTCATCCAGTGAAAATAATAAAAAAATTATAAGAATAAAAGGATAAAAAAATTATTGCGACTAAAATAATAAATAGTAATTTTTTGTTTAATTTTGTAAAGAAATGTTCTTTGCTATATTTATTTTTAAGATGAATTTTAAATCTAAAAATATAAATCATAAAGTTAATATATAAAAATTATTATATATATACACCTGTGAATATAACTTTTTTAATCATGATATCAGTCATGAATATGAGCATGAGGAGTTTCCAACAAATAATTTTTTAAAATAGATTCTAATTATTTATTATTTGACTCTCAAATCACATTATTTAAAATTAAAATCTCACAACTAACTATATAAATTAAGCTTAAATATATTTTTAGTTTCTGTAAAATTAATCATATTTGATTTTGATGTCTATAAAATATACAAAGACTAAAATCAAAATTCACTATCTATACATACCGATGACGTTGGATAAAAAGGACCAACATAGTGGTGATGCTTAAGAAGAGTCATTCAAATTTGGAGTGATACTTATTTTATGGGATATGTCATACTAATAACAGTTCAAGACAAAATGTCTGCATACATCATGCAATTGAATAATCTCATAGCATCTACAAGGTTGCATACGAAACAGTGTACTAATATCTTTGCTGAGATAAACATTTTGAATCTCCTTTCCATTTTTCTCTTCATTTTAAGGTCATCAGCATAAACTGAAGACATGCATTGTATCATGCAACTAAAAACATAACTGAGTATTGACTACAAACTAAAACTTGAGCCATCTCTTTTCTTTTTCTTTGCTAACAACTGCATTTGAGGCAGAGGCATGAACTGCTTCAGCATCAGCCAAGGCCTTGCGGGTTTCATTTAATTTTCTCATGGCAGCTTCATACACAGCCTTCTCTTTCTTATTGGCATTCACAATTTGCTCAAGCTTTTCAACTCTCATCTTCAAATCCTTCACCTCTTCCTCATAAGCAACCAATGCCCGTCTATCCACCTTTTTACCTTCCTCAGAACCTTTACTTTGCTGCTTCTTCATTGATCCACCACCGAAAGCATCGTTGTGCATTGACAGCTGATTGTTTATCAATGCAAAGACATCTGATGTCGACTCCTCTTCCTCTTTTGCTGCACGATTTGCTTCTGCAAATTTCTTGTCGCGTTTTCTTTTGCCACCTCGGCTCCGTTTCTTCTTGCATTGCTTCTCTTGGTTCTCTTCCATTTTATGAGACTCGAGTGCATGATCTAAAGACTGCTTTGGTGGTAAGACCTTCACTGGTATGGGGTTCAGCATTCCCTGACCCGTTACTCCTAGACCCTTTCCTTCAATGTACCCCATACTAGCCATCATTTTGGAAGCTATGCCTCTAGTGTGGTTTTCCCATGTCGCAAATTTTGCAGTTTCGGTTTGAACTCCTCTCTGTTGTTTGGTACTCTCCAGAAATCCTAAACCTTGTGATTCCTCATCCTCCTCGTAGTCACTGGACTCAGATTCCTGTAAGCTGGAATCACTCTCTGAGTCACTCACTTCTGCATGCTCAGACAATGCCATTTCTTCTGCACCAAGTTTCACAGAACTCCCATCATCTCGGAAAACAACTTGTCCAACTCCAGCCTTTTCGTCCCAGGACTCGAGCTCAGCTTCTCTCCAAGTACCTGCTTTTGCAGTTGAGACTGCCCATATGCTTGACCCGACAAGGGACTGCTTCCATATTGTAGGGACAAATTTCTTAAGAGCGGACAAGTGAACATCAACTCCTGTAGATGTAGACAGAACATAAGTTATCATATGTTTAGCAAAATAGGATTGTCGTATACAAAGGTCATCAGCTGAAACTATGAAAACTAGATTAAAATACAGTGACAATCCCCTATATTTTCACAAATTACACCGAGACCCCATTTTTTAAAATTCTACACAAATCTACCCTTTGTTTTGAAAAGGTTATATTGTCACCCTTTTTTACATTCACATGCACCTCCTTAAGTTTTAAAGACATCACACTTATACCTCCTCACGAGAGAAACAAGGGTTGTAATTATGATTTGATAAAATCTCAGGAAGGGTACTATTGTAATTTACTCTATAAACAAACATTACAGGTTTTGGAGGAGTGCTCCGTATCAAAACAATAAACTACAGAAATTCTAACCCTTCAAATTCAGTAAGAGTTGAAAAATTAATCAATTGGAGTAACAGTACTGAGTTTGCCATTTTATCCTTTCAACTTTCTTGGCCTGGTCCTCAATGTTACTATGTTATTGTGTCTTGAAAGCATGCTCCAACAAACTTAGTAAAGAATTTCGAAACGATCAATGAGTGAAGTATAAATAGTTTCACATAAGATTCCATAAACATTAAAGCACAAAAGGATTGTTATTTTATTTTTATCCAAAAAGAGAAAAATTGACAAACACAAAGCACGTGATAAATCTAAAATGAATGTAGTTGTAGGTTGAAATAAATATACTAGTTTCATCTAGGTGAAAGTACACAAGTCATCTACATATTTTAAAGATGCTATGCAGGATTGATATCTCATAATGGAAAAGCATCATAATGTAAAAATCACAATTTAAAAAAAAAAAATGCTTACGCTGACTGCTTAAGTTATGTGACTACTCAAGCAATTAGAACTTGGATCCCTAGTTTATAAATATGAAATACCAACCAAAATGTAATTAAGGACTTCACTCAACAAGTTATTCAAGATGCCAGGTCCAAATGCTCATTGAATATTTTCATTTACAAGTGCAAGTGGAACTAAAGTTTAGTGACAGTCAATAACAAAGAGGGCTATGTGATTTCACCTCTACACAATTTTGTTCTATTTGCTCAGCAGCTTACCATGTGATAGGCGACAGTTACTACCAAATCGACATCTTTGTTGTAAAAAGAACTTGCACATCTGCACTTCGGTGTTCTAGTATCAGTACGATGATATGAAAAACAATTGATTTTATTGAACAATCTGAACCTAAATTTCTGTGGAATAACAATGTTAAAGAAACCTTCTTCACATGAGTAGCAATTTCATATTACTTCACTTCACCCACAAATATTTTAAACATATAATCTTCAATCCAAATGACTTTTCTTGATTTACAACGTATAAGGCAATCAATGGTAGTGAGGATACTTGAAACCTTGAGATAGCTTGAAACTAAGATGGTGCGATAGGGATATAAAAGGAACACAGAAAGAGGTAAACTTCCAATTTTTACTAGTTAGAACTCTCTCATTGACTGTGATTGGAACATCAAGCAAAAAGGTTTCATCCATTATAAAAAGATTATTGTATGAAACTTGTTCGGAAATATTATTTGTTTAATAACTACGTTCATTTTATAAGAGTGCCGCATCTATTATGTAATATCTAATAAAATGTATATAACGTATCACATGCAATACATATTATAGATCCTTCAATTAAAAAGATTTCTTCTTCAACTGTGTCAAGAAGATCACCAATCTACATTTAAAACAACACTGACCTATGATATAAACAATATGTCAAAAGGGTTACTAAGGAATATATTTAAATATGAAGAGAAGAGGCTAAACTGCCCCAACATCAAATCAAATTAAGAACAATTGTTCACAACTCCACATAGCAGTGCAACTGAAATATATTATGTAAAAGGGACTCAACACCATAAAATAGAGTACACAATAAATATAAAGGAAACAATTCAAAATTGGATTAAAGGCAATGAGGCAACTGTTATGATGGAACAAGATTATTGCTCCCTCTTACGTTGCCCTGTGCCCCCAAATGTATTTTCGCATTTTTCAAATTTACCCAACAATCTTCAAAATAATTCTAAAAGTCACGATATTAACTAGCTCACACATTCAAACAATGTGACAAATGCTAATTAGGTCATTGTATGTCACATCAATACCATTACTAAAGTCGTCCAAGCCATGGAATAAAAAAAAAAAAAATGCCCCTAATAGGTAATTATCAACTAGTAAATAAATTATGATTAAATGTATAGAAATGCATTTGTATTATTTGAATATAGGAGACAAAACATGTATTCTGGCAAAGGAATAGCTAGAACCCACCCACAGCCTATTCCTGTATTCCACCCCCCCCCCCCCAATCTCCCTCTTTCTCACGTACTTACCTCAATAAGTACCTTCTCTCTCCCTCCCTCTCACTCTACCCACTAGGCCGCGTTAGTTGCAAAATTATTCCCTCCTTTCCCTCTCTCCTCAAGGCTACCCCTTGTTTAGGCCTTCTAGAATATACTTTGGCAAATCTGTTAGGCCCCTTCACGACCTTCTCACTCATATTTGCATCAATACCCTCGCTTTCAAGACTTACATTGTCCTCGAGGTGAAAATCAGGGAACACAACTTTAATTTCTTCCAATAGTTCCCAGACATTGTCACAATTAGGAAGATGCTTCCATTTCACCAATATTTCCAGGTTTCCTCCTTCATTTGCTTCACGGTCAGTACTTATTCAAGAGTAACTTTCAACTCCCAATCATCAGCTAAGAAAGGGGGTAAGCAGCTGCAGTTTTTCAGAAGGGAGACATGAAATATAGGGTTTACTTTGCTCTCATTTGGTAGTTTCAATTTGTAAGGCGCAAGCCTTATTCTTTCTAGAACCTCAAATAGCCCATAAAATCTTGGACTCAGCTTCTTATTAACTCTCTTGACTAATTGTTTTAGCTTATATGGTTGTATCTTTAGGATAACTAGCTCTCCTACTTGAAATTCCACATCTCTTCTATGCTGATTTGCTTGTTGCCTTATCCTGTTTTGCGCTTTGGACAAATGTTCTTTGAGGTCCTCCAAAATCTTATTTCTCTCTATAGTCATCTGCCAGACCTCATCTCCATCAATGAGGCCAGCATGTCTGCTAATGATTATAGGTGCCTTTTTTTCCATATAAGGCTTCAAAGGGAGTCATCTTGATCGAGAAAGGATAATTAGAGTTATACCAAAATTCTGCCTAACTTAGCCATTTAGGTCACTGCTTGTGCTTGTTCCCTATCACACACCTCAAGTAGGTTTCAAGAAATCTATTCGCCACTTCACTTAAGCCATTTGTGGGTGGTAAGCTGAATTATATTTCAACTTGGTTCCTATTAATTAAAAAAGTTCACTCCAAAATGAACTAATGAAAATTGAAAATACGAGACAACGGATTGTGGAAATCCATGTAATTTCACTACATTCTTCATAAACAATTCAGTCACCTTTTTGGGCATACTTACCGAGCCTATCAACCACCACTAAAATTGTATCTTCACCTATAGTCTTCGGTGACTCTTCAATAAAGTCCATTAATACATCACTCCAAACTTGTGTTGGAATAGGGAGAGGCTATAACAACCCTCTTGGATTCAAGGCTTGATATTTATTCCTCTGGCATACATTGCAAGCATGAACACATTTCTGAATTATCTATCTCATTCCTTCCCAAAACACCACCCCATAAATTCTCTTCAAAGTTTTGAAAAAACCCGAATGTCCTCTTAAGGTTGAATCATGGAATTCATGTAGTGTTCCATTAATTCTAGGAGAATTCTTTAGAAGGATCAATCTGCCCTTATACATTAACTTTCCTAGTTTCAGTTCATACCTTGGGGAACTCCTTGTTTGGCTCCACAACCCCTGTAAAATTTGCTCAATTATGCATCAGTTATTACCTCACCCTTCCAACCCTTCCCATTGTTGAGTCTGCACTATGGATAATGCAGTATATTTGAAATTTCTTGGATACGACATCAGCAACCATGTTTTCAGGTCCAGGCTCATATTTCACTTCAAAATCGTAACCCATCAACTTGGAAATCCATTTCTACTGCTCTTCTCTCATTAGTCGTTGGTCTGTCAGAATTTTAGACTTTTCTTATCAATGTGTACTATAAAACGCCTTCCTAGCGAATAATGTCTCAACTTTTGGACTATCATTACAATAGCCATCAATTCCCTCTACTACACTGACTTACTCTGAACCCTATCAAATATTGTATGACTCATATAGGCCATTAGTTTCCCCTTTTGCATCAATGATGCTCCAATTCCATTGTCTAAAGCATCAGTCTTCAAAATAAAGTTTTTCCCAAAATCCGGGACAACAAGAACAGCCAGTGTAGGCATGACTTGTTTGAGTAATGAAAATTTTGTTGAGCCTTGAGTCCCCATCAAAAAATTGTCCTTCTTAACCTGTTGAGTTAGGGGCCAAGCCATTTTCCTGTAATTCTTCACAAACCTCTTGTAATATCCGGTCAAACCCAAGAATCCCCTCAACCCCTTTGTATCTTTTGGAGTTGGCCAATTCACCATACCACTGATTTTGTTAGGATCTGCGGCTACCCCTTCATTAGAAATTATATGGCCCAAATATTCCAGCTTTGCTTGAGCAAATAAACATTTCTTGTAGTTAACCACCAACTAGTTCTCTCTTAAAATCTCAAAAATCACTTGTAGATGTTTCAAATGAGCCTCCATATCATTGTTATATATCAAGATGTCATCAAAAAAACACCAACACAAACCTCCTAAAATAAGGTTTCAAAATTTGGTTCATCAAAGCTTGAAAGGTATTGGGAGGTTAAGCCAAATGACATACTAAGTACTCATAGTGTCCTTCATGCGTTCAAAAAGCAATATTGGGAATGTCTGTCTCCTTCATCCTAATCACATGATACCCAGACTTTATAAATCTAACTTAGAAAATACAACAGTAATCCCTAATTCATCCAATGGCTCATCTATTATGGGTATAGGAAATTTGTCTGAAATTGTGTGTTTGTTTAAGGCTCTATAATCAACACAAAACCTCCATCCCCCGTCTTTTTTTCCTCACTAATATCTCAAGACTAGAGAAAGAGTTGATACTCAGCCTAATAATCCTAGCTTTTACATTTCATCCACTATTTTTTCTATTTCATTTTTCTGATAATGGGGTATCTACAAAGTCAAACATCAGGTATAAGGGCTCCTTCTTTGAGAGAAATAGTATGATCATGCAAACGCTTGGGGGTAAACCAATTGGCTCTTGAAACACACCCGAAAATGTTGTTAATAGTCGATTTACCTCACTATTTTCAGCTATTGGACTGTTCGCAAGGCCCTCCATTGATTGGTACTAGATCATATAGTTTTCCACGAAGTTTGGTTACAACAAAGAGATGGGTCTCCTTTTATTACCATTTTTTTCCTCCTTGCTTCCATTTAAGAGTTAAATACCTAAAATTGGCTTTGACATTCCCCAAACCAGATAACCACTCCATCCCTAATACCACCTCCAAACCTCCTAAGGTTATCAAAAAAATTTTGTTCCAGTTCAATGCCTTGGACCTGCAACTTCAATGCCTTGCAGCACCTTTTTTGCACCAGTTGATCCCTATTTCCTACCTCCACAGTGTGTTTTAGAGTTGTATACAACTCCAATCCTAGTTCCTCTACTAATTTGAAAGATATGAAATTAGCATATACTCCTAAGTCAATCAAAGTTAACATTGCTCACTGCTTTAGTATGCCCCATACTTTGAAAGAATTATAAGAAGTGAGACCTTGAGTGCTTTTCAAGGATAGTTGCAGCACTTTCACCTCTTCTACTTTTTTCTCCCTTTTCTCTAATTCACTTCCATTATCCCCTCTTCTACTATTTCTAGTGTAAAATGCTTGTGTCTACAAACATGATCATGGCCCCACCTTTCTCCACACTTGAAGAACAACCCCTTCCTGCTCAATCCCCTCAACTTCTCCTGCATCAATCTTTTCCCCAATTCTAGTTTTATACTATCCACACCCCCTACATTGGGTTTATTCTCAATCTGGGCTTTGTTACATAAGTTTTACTCCTTCCAGGATCACTCCCAACTAATTGACCCCACCTTCCACTTGTTCATCCTCTCTCCCCACTCATTTGTCACCAACGTCCCTTTCCACATTGCATTGTTTTCTCCTCAATAAGCATGGCTTAGTCCATCAACTTCGTAGAGTAGTGTCTCATATAACTTCAGTTCAACAAGTATCTCCTCATTTAGGCCGTTGAGGAAGATGCTGGAGAGCAACACCCTCTCATTTCTTTTCAGAGGTGTAGCCAACATCTCAAACTGCTCCCTATATTCCATCACCGTTCCAGTCTCTTTCACGCTTAGTATCGGGCCATTGGGGTTCTAAACTAACCATGGTTGGAATCTCTTGATTACAACCTATGTAAATTCTTCCCAACTCCTATCAATGGTTTATTCTTCACACCACTGATACTAGTTCAATGCACATCCCTCCAACACAATCATTACTGCATCCATGCATCCAAACATTCCTCTTCAAAGACCTCATTGATCTAAAAGTACTTCTCGACCTTCACCAATCACTCATAAGCTTCTTCACCATTTAAAATCGGAATCTCCAACTTCCTACCATCGATATGATGTCATCACACATGATTGCCCCCACTCCACTGCAATATTGAGCACGAGGGTGTGCAACCTCATTCTTGGCTTCCTCTGCACTTTCGTTGAGGCAATCTCTCCTTTCATCTTTGTTGATGGTTCTCAAACATTTGCGCAATTTTACATCTAATTTCGTCCTTCTACCCTCATCTCTTGGAGCTCGCACTCCAACGCCTCCACTCTTATGTCTACCAATGCAACCTTGGACCGCACCATCTATCCCTCCCAAAACAAATAGAATCGACCTCGCTCTAAATACCAATTGATAGGTAATTATCAACTAGCATATAGATTATGATTAAATGTATAGAAATGTGTTTGTATTATTTGAATATAGGAGACAAAACATGTAATCTAGCAAAGGAATCACCAAAACCAACCTACAGTCTATTCCCATATTCCCCCCTCCCTCTTTCTTGTATACTTACCTCAATAAGTACCTTCTCTCTCCCTCCCTCTCACAATGCCCGCTAGGCCGAGTTAGTTACAAGATTATTTCCTCCTTTCCCTCTCTCCTCAAGGCCTACCCTTTGTTTAGGCCTTCTAGAATATACTTTGGCAAAATTTGTTGGCCCCTTCACAACCTTCTCACTCATATTTGCATCAGCCCCTAAATTGAAGAACTAAAATCATATTTAAGCCTTATTTAGAAAAAGAAAAATAGTTAAGAAAAATTAGAAAAACAGTTATAGAATATGAAGAATAAATTGGGAAAGAAATGTGTACACCGAAAAGCAATTTTACAAACTAATCCCCTTTATTAATAGTATAGATAACAATGGCAGTAGCATAGGAAAGAGATTACAGTACAAAGATGATGGAGGATAAGAAATAGCTCGAAAAGAAAAAGAAAACCAAAACAAATACAGGCAAAAGTCATAGCAATATGATATGAATAATATAAGGAACTCCATTTATAAGAAAAATTACCAATGATCTGATTTTCCTGTGTCATTGGTTTCAGTTTTTGAGTTCAGAAACTCACATACTAGAAGATACACATTGTGTAAGGATCAAACACTTAACAGGTATTTACTGAAAACTTATGCTTAAACTATGACAGCATGTAGCTAACACATTCATGGTGTGGGAGTATTGAGACTTAAGTGGTATTGGAGACAGCAAACCTTACCATTTGCCTTTTCTTCTACAACTAAACAAATCCAAGGAAAATTAAAAGTATAGCTTAATGCCCATGTCATCCATTTGTTGCCTAATTTCTTATTTTTAATTGAATTCAAACCCACATTTGACAAACTGTTGTTACATCAAATTGCTTTATTTTCTCATAATTAGTTACAATAGAGGAAAGATACAAGGAAGAGAAACTGTACTAGTTAAGAAAATAAAAATACCATGATACAGTTTTTTCAGTAAGAGAAAAAAAATAGGCATACTTGACATAGTATAATCGTACATACCAGCATATTTTCAGATGTAGGAGTAAGGAATGAAACTTTTGCCACTGAATTATCCAACTGCACAACTTGCCCATTGTACCAGCGCCCATCTTTGTAACGGAATCTACATTTAGATCCAACAGAATGGCAGTTTTCCTCCAATGGCTCTGGTTCAACATCTGTGGGATCAAGGAGTTCCACTTTCTCCCCCTCAGTAAAAATATTAGTGTTATGCAGCACTGCATCTGCTTCCTGTAACAATCGTGCCCGTTTTAGGTGAAAAAGTCCTTCTTCTGCATCCTTAATTGCCTGGACAAGCTCCTGATGAACCTGTGATATCAAAGAAATTCTAAGATATTTAAGTATAAAACTAGCCTAAAAAATATTAGATTGATAGTCGTTACCATGACCATGGTCCCAGGTAAAACACAATTACACAATTTGCAGAAATTTTTGAGAGATGAGAATAGAGAGAGGTAAAGAGATCATTTATCTTATCTGAAAAATCAATACATTATTGATACTGAATTTCGAAACATGGAGGCTCTTATACTATGCAACTGCCATGATTGAAACAACTTTGACTGAGTTCTGGACCTCTGGGCTGCGTCACTTCAACTTTGGAACTGAGTTGGGGTTTTCTACTTCCCTCGTGTCTGACTATGTGGGTTGTTGCTATAATATTCTCTTGTATGTCTCACATTTTAGGGGTCATTTGGTTTGGGAAAATATTTTCTATTTTCATATTGTTTCCTGCTTTCTAAAATTTATACAGGAAAAAGGTGAAAATACAAAATAAATTAAAGTTGTTTTTACAGTTACATGAACTTCTTAAGATAGAAAACAAACAAAGTGAACACAAAAAACATTTTCTCAAACCAAACAACCCTTTGTCATTCACATGGATTCAATGTAATAAGATCCACAAGTCTGACAACCTTGGCTAGAGTCCTATGTATACTAGCTCAGGACAGGACACTGTTCCACTAGAATGAACTAATTTTGTTGATTACAGTGATGCAGCTCAACAGATCTTAAATAACAACCAAGATTGGGGTGGTTGCAGTATAGGCTTTCTTATGTAAGAAGTACAGGGCACCTATGTTGCTGCGGAGAATCCAAAGCATCAACAACTAGTTAGTGGGAATTTTAGAGTTAATATCATTTAGCTTTCTGGTGACGGAGTACTCTGTTTTTTTTTTTTTTTCAGTTACTATCATTTATCACCAAGGCATTAAAGGCGAGCCTAACCTATACCAGAAGGGTATACCAAAAGTACGAGGGATTCACCTCACTGAACAAGCAATGCCTAAACAAGGTGTTTTCCCCATGTGGCTTCGCTTTGAGTACACTATTCCTGTTACTTGGGTTTTTAAGTTTAACATTGAAGACTCTCTGCTCTCATTGAAGTGCATATGACCAATGTAGGAAACATTACACAGCACACCAGTCCATCTTACACACATAAAACATCAATGAACTAAGAAGATTTCTCTCTATCTGTGCACAACTAGAAAATGCAGGTCTGAGACATAGCAATAGATTTAATTAACACCACAATCATTGAAATTTTAAGAGTCACAAACCTACATATGATAAGGATTCAAAACAGCACATATCCCAATCCTCAATATTCCGCCATTTTGGCCAACAACAAAATCAATTTCGACAAACCAGTAAAATACCTCAAACATCTACCCCATTTACCATTGCAAAGATGCCATGAAAGCTATCTAGTAAATTAATTAAAAACAATACAGAAACCGCATTTCATTCCTACTTGTTCACAAAAAGCTTCAATACTTGAACAGAAACAAACTGCCCACGGGCCAAAATCACAAAATTCCAGCACAATCCTTTAATTCCAACGCGATTATGAAATGGGGAATTGAAGAGGGACATAAATTGTCAAGGGCTGTTGAAAAGAATTAAAATGTGTTGATTGAAAAGAGAGAGAGTGTGTGATACCGCGAGAAGCTCAGGGTTGGTTGGATCAGAGAGGATAGCTTGATCGATAGCAGAGAGGGAATCCCTTTGCTCTTGCAATTGAAGTTCGAGTTGGTTCTCAAGAACCCTCTCTTCTTCACTTCCCATTGCCTCACCCAAATACGACCACGTTAGACACACTCTTGTTATGATGAACAAATTATTATTATTATTATTATTATTATTATTATTATTATTATTATTATGTTCAAAAAATATTACATGCAATCATATAAAATAATAAAAAACATGTCCCAATAAGATTGGTGGAACATGTATGCAGGAATATATAATAATTTATCTACCTATCAATATTATTTAAAATTACTAATTTGATTATTGTATTTGCTCTAATTTTATGTTTAAGTTTATATATAAAAATGAAAAAATGTGGTTTTAAGTGTTTATATTTTTTTAAAAATTAGTGTCAAACTTTATCCATTTAAATTAATTCTATAACTTTTCAAAATATGTAAATTTTCATATTTAATAATATTTTTTATCATAAGAAAGTTAAAATAAAAATGAATTCACTTTTTTTCTAAAACTTGAAAATTTAAAAAGAAAAACCAAGTTTATTAAAAAGCAAAGATTAAAACTTGTTCTTCTCATTTTATGTTTCAACTTTATTCCTGTAATTACTTTTTAATAGTCTATCTCTTCTTAATTAAAGCCCTTTGAATGGATTGTCAACTATTATTTTAAATAGAACAATCCACATGCTTAATTTATTTAATACATCATTATAAAGAATTATCATATAAATCAAAATGTATAAGGTTTACTTCAGTTCTATTATTTGGAATTTAAAATATTGATTCTAATATGAAGAGAGAGAGAGATTTCATTTTATTTTGATTTTACTTTATTGACATTTACGAACTCTCTCTTTATGTTTTGATGTAATGACATTGCTTTTGACATTATGAGCTTTTCCACAATGATAATATCCATTGTATTTGCTTGAGTTAAACCATCAATCTGGGTTTTTGGGTTGACCATGGAAAATTGTTTTAACAAGTGTAAGATATCTTTAGCAATAAAAAAATACTAGTATTTCTACAATTCCAAATTTGATTTTTGTGAGATATTTTGGGTTGATTTTTAGCAAAATACGTATTCACTTAACTTTTATGTTAAGTTCATTTTCAATAAATATAACGAAGCTTTAAACATGTTGTTTTTTACCTAGATTTTAGATTTTAATAAGACAACACAAATGAAATGACTATAATTCTTAAAAATAGTTAAATTATATTTATAATCATAAATGAAAATAGTAAAAAAAGAAAAACAAAATAATCATATGAATTAAATATAAAATATTTTAAGTTTTATTAATCTTTGGAGAATGAAATAATTTTCTTCGATTTATCAAATGATAAATATTGTAAGTTTTGTAAAGGTGATCTTCTAACCTAAAATGTGAGGTGTTGGTAGAAGAATCTTAATTATAGTGATAAATGAAACATGACCTTCTCTTTTATTTTATCTAAATAATAAATTATTTTTGTTAATTTAGTCAAATCAACCATTTGACACATTAATTTCTTATATTCAACAAAATTATGAGAAAAGATAATTGAGTATTTAAGATAGGAAATTAGTTTTGATATAAAAAGTAAAGTAAAGTGGAAAAATGTATATGGATAGATTTTATTTTTAAATCATTTTTGAAAAAAAATATAAAGAAAAAAATAATGTGATTAATTACTTAAGAATCAAATAAACAATAAGTTATTAATATTTTGTTTAGACTAAAAAGTGAATTCGAGAGAGTGAAATATAAAAAATATTTAATATTATTAACTTTAACGTTAGAGTGTCTTTTACAAATACATCGATCATATTTTAAATCAAGAGACTTGAACATATGGATCACTGTTCGTCTAATTACTTGAAATAAACATCATATTCAAAAAAAGAGATTAATTTTGTGGGAGACTCTTGACCTTGCAAAAATATATATAAACCTCCAACTTAACTAAATAACATGATTAAATATTAACACTAAATAAAGAAGATACTAATATGGAATGTAGCGTAGTTATATATAATGTTGATGGAGGGAAGAGATTGTTAGGAGGGGAGGCATAATTTTGCACTAGTATTACAAAATGTAACAAGTCATAATTTCTTTTAATAAAATGATATATTGTTTGTTGGTTACAAAATTTGTGTACATTTTAAAATACTTATACATATAAAATGTTTCATGTTAAATCCATAAAATATGAGGACCCACCTTGCGCCTAATGAGTTAATGGCCACATGCACTCTTGTGAGTCATTAACCCTTCTTTTTTTCCCTCCTCAATACCATCATGGTAGGGTGGGTAACATAGACAAGTAACTTCTCTACATTGGACAACCACTTGTGGTGCCAATAGATAGGGGACTCACCATTTTGCCCCAGTTTTTTAACAAATTTGAACAAGAACCAAAAATAAAATTTCCTAAATTTGGAAAAAAAAATTAAGTAAAAATCTTTTACACTAAAGGTATAGAAATTTTGTGTACTTCTAATTGGGTACTTTAACTTCATGTGAAAACAACAATATATATGACATGATATACTAAACATTGCGACTTCACATAACATAAGGTTGTTGTTGTCTTATTCTTTTGCTCATAATGGGTGTGAAAATATTTCTATTAGAAACCATGTCTTATTATTATGAGATTAGCGAAGATAAATCATTGAATTGGCACAAAGGTCATTGCAATTATTATGATCTCCACTTATTGAGTTTCACTTCCATTTCCTTTATTGGTCAACTTCATCTTTTCTATGTCGCCCTTGTTCTTGTTTCTTTTTATTATTATTATTATTATTATTATTTATTAATTTTATGGCTCACCCTGTCCACTTTTTCATTTGGTCCAATGCTTGGTCACCCTTGAACAATTCATTGTTTCACTTTTTGAGTAACAAGGGTCAATGCACTGTGTGGTGCATGTTTCTAGACCCATATATTGTGTTGCCTCTTATAATAAATGCATATGGAGCCCATGATATGATAAGTAACATATTTACCATTTTTGTGACCACACTCTCTTCACCCCTCCCCAAGCTTGGTAGCTATTATTCCACCATCACAAAATTAGCTAAACCTTCTAAGTGGTCCAACCCCACCACCTATTTTTGAGAGTTTACTATACCAAACCCTAATCACAATCAAACTCCTTAGGATTTCAATCAATTTATTAAAAAAAATCATTAAATTATAAGTTTTTCACTAACTCATCCTTTTTACCACTTTTTTTTTAAATGCCAAAGTAGATTAGAGCAAAACACTAGTGCCCCATACAATCACAAAGCATTAGACAAAGGAATATGATGGGCATCATGGCATTATTCTCTCTTTGGGGTTTATTTTTTACTTTATGTTAAAAGAAAAAATCTCATATAAACTTAATTTACACACAAGTGTAGATATAAACCACCACTACATGATTGGTGATTATTCAACCACAACGAGTCATATGGCAATCCAATATAGCTAGCATCTATATTCATTGTGATGAGTTTTAGCACATTTATACCCCCCCAAAGATGATGTGCTAGACAACTAGATAACCCAAACAAGACAATTAGTGGCAAAGTGAGGTGCACCAAAGTGAGCATGCCCGAATGGTTTGGTTACCATGTACATATGCTAGGGCTAGTGAATGCTACCTTGAAAGTTCCATTTCATGTAGTTTGGGAAAGAGACAAGAAAAGTTTTCAATTGCCAAACTACTCTAATTGATTCCAATGGTGTTGTTTTACTTGTTAAAAACCCCTTCTTCAAAACCATCACTTCAAACTACCATAGTGTTGGACCTTTTCAAGGTTCTCTTTGGTGCCTTCCATTATTTCCTATTGAATTAAAACAAGAACGTCAACAACCCATTACACTTCTTAAGTTTTCCTATTATAGTGAAATATTCAGCTCAAACAAAATTATCCCTTTTATTAAAAAATACTTCAAAATAATCTATAACAATTAGGAAGGAAAAGTTAAGGTATCTTGACATATGCTTAGTTGTGAAAACTATACAATACATTCAAGCTTAAGAAAAATTGAACAAATTCCTTGATAGATTAAAAATATTAACTTTTCAATGAACTTAAATTAATTAATAAATAGAAACTCTTTCATTTTGTTGGGTAATCCATCCTCTACTTGGATCAAACTTAAAAGTTCAAACTTCTATGTGTCCTTTGTCTAGATTAGGTGCATTTTTTTACAAATCCATTAATGAAAAAACCATGTGCTTGATCTTGGAATGGAAACGTGGGTTGATTCTTTTTCTTAAGGGGTAGAATTCCCAAAGCATTACAAGTTATTATTATTATTATAATAGTGAGGATAAAAAATCCAGAAAAAAAGAGAAGGCATCTCTCTCTATCTAATCATTCACCGTCCAAGATCCAAATTACCGACCCTGCCAAACATCTTTGAGTGTTGTAGAAGGCACCATGATTGTTCTTTTCACATTGCCATTGCTCCAAAATAATGAAAATAAATAAGAAATTATCATCATCTACCTCCCTCACCCAACACTTCATTAGCCCAAAGGAGGAGAAGAAAATAAGATTATAACAAGGTTATGGGAAAAACATATGCTCTTGTACCCTATGTTTTGGGACCATTCTACATTGTACACCCATTTAAGTCATACATAAATTCGGAGAAACAATGGTTGGTCTTTTAGAAAACCCTTCCACAAAACAAAAAACATCACAAATCTTTCAATATCAATTGAACCAAAATGCAATGTGTGAAAGTATCAAGAGCATTCAATACTCTCAATCACAATGAGAGAAAAATCAAAATGGACAAAGAGAATCAAGCTATAAGTAGAAACTAATACTCTAGATGTGATGAAAGATCATCAATCATCAATCAAAACTAAATTTTGTTCTTAACTCATCACTTTTTCTTTGGGTTCTCGTTACCCTCTTGATAATTTAAAACAAAAATTAAGAAAAGTTTAGAAATTTGGAAACAAAAAAATAGAAAGGTGTGGAACGACATTATCTTGAATGTTTACTCTCACAGAAATTAAGATCATATTACCATAATCTTCATAACTGATCATCATCAATCATAAAATTTTTTTCTTTTTCATTTTTCTCCGCATAGTAAAAAGAGGGGAAAAAGAGAAAGATAAAAAAGAAAAATCAATAAAGAGAAAAAATTAATAATTCCTTCATCGAACCAATACATCATCATCATCAGAGACAAAGAACGGTGCAGAACATATCATTATCCACGCTACCGTTTGCCACGTCAGCATCCTCCAACGGCAACGCGTTTAGATCAAACGGCAACGGTTCTCGCCGGAAGGACGAGGCCGCGTTGTCGCCGTCTCCGTCGTCCACGACGGAGGATGACGAGTCGCAGTCGCTGCGGCAGTCCTCGGGGACGATCGGCGGCGTCCTCGGGTATCTCCGGGCGGTGGTCACCGGCACCGCCTTAATAACGGCGGCGCGTGGGCCGCTGAAAGACTCGACGGTGCTGCTCATGCCGCTGGAGGTTGGTTGCCGGTGATCGTAAAAGGGATCACCGGCACCGGCGAAGTACCGGTGGTCGGAGAACGGATCGGGGTTGTAGAACTGCGGAGGGAGAGGGAAGTTGGTCTTTGCTTTGGGTCCCCGGAGAGTTCTCGCCGCCGCATCGTACGCACGCGCCGCGTCCTCCGCGGAGTCGAAGGTTCCGAGCCAAACCCTTGCTTTCTTCAAAGGGTCTCTGATTTCGGCGGCGAACCGGCCCCACGGCCTTTTCCGGACTCCGCGATATTTCGGTTCTTTGAAAAAACCCGGCCTTGAACTGGATTCCACGGCCTCGCCTCCACCCATGTTCAAAGTTTCAATCTTTTTGGAATTCTAAGACAACCCAGAAACCCACCCCGGCCTAAAAACGTTGGAAATGTGAGATTGATGGGAAAAAGTTGCAGCCTTTGACCTTTCTTTCAAGGATAAATGTATCTCACAAAAGGATCATTTGGGTTAATGGCTTAATGGTGAGGTTTCGAGGGATTGAAGGTTAGAGAAGATGACGATGAAGGTGATGCGATTGAGAAGATGAGAGAAAGAAAGAGGAGAAAGAATAGAGAGAGGAAAATGGGTGGTAGAGGGAGAGAGAGTTTGTGGTTGAAGGAAGGTACCATAACAACACAAAACAACACAACTCATAACAACACCTTCTCTTCATCTCCATCTACACAAAAAATATATTAATAAGATTGAGAATGGACCTCAAGAGTGTAGTTTTCTACTTTCCTTTCCCTTTGGGTTTCTCAGTTGTGGTTGTAATGTTATGACCTTTCATTCCAATTTTTTTTTTTAATAAATAAATAATTTTTCTTATCCTTTATTTTTAGAATGGTGTGTATTCATAATTTAAAATATTTCTATTCTATCATTGATCATATATATATATATATATATATATATATATATATATATATATATATATATATATATATATATATATATATATATTATTAAATTTTGTAATCATCATGCAAAAATTATAATATCAATAGTTTGAATTACGGGCAAAACATAGAAACTTAATTTAATTTTAATAATTATTCATATATATCAATATTTCACATCATTCATGTATTAAAAGTTAGAAAAAAAAAACATGATTTGTATTAAATGACTCCATAAAAACCATTTTTAAGTGTATGATATGTATTATCATCTCTAATAATATATTTTCATTATTTCTATTATCTCCATAAAAACTTTTCTTTATATAACATGATTTTCATGGATGGAGTATTTCCATTTTATTTTCTTTGTCTTTCTTTTATTTAGTGGGTTTTTAATTTCTTTCAGGGACAGTTCTATTTTTTTTTCCCATTTGAAAATGAAATTTAATTTGAAGTTAGTGAGATAGTTGTTTGTATCATGCAAAACGTTAGATTATTTGATGAAAATATAAATAGAAAAATGAAAAAGAGACATAGAATTAACTTTTTTTTCTTTACTTTTTATTAGATAAATCAAAATAAATTGATCCATTTTATTTGGACATTTTTCCTTCTAACAAGGGGAAACATTTATGTTAAAGGTGAGAAATTGAAGTGGAGTTGGTTGATTTATTGGTGACTTGGTATGGTAGGGACATAATGGTAATTGGGAAGGTCTCTTTTGATGCTTTGTTCAGTGTTTAGAGAGGGTGGGATCAAGGAAGGGTTGTTGCGTGAGAATACTAGCAACAGATTTCAATGCCAAGGAAGTTACAAATGAAAAAGTTAAAAGAAAAACCCAACATTGTCTTTCCTTTCTGGATGGATTTAAAAGAGTGAACAAAAAATAAAAATTGTTTGAATTGGAAAAAATAAATAATTTTATTTATTATTTATTATTAAAATAATATATATATATATATATATATATAAATTAAAAATTTTAAATAATTATGCATAATACATAATTTATCAGGTCTAAATTTTTTATTTTTATGTTTCTAAGAGAAATGATAAGTTTTTTTTATATACTTTTTTCAATAAAGTACGTATTTCTTTAAGGTGTTTTCGTCGTAGTCAGAAACAAACCACCCTTAAATCCTATAAAAAGACGCAAGAGTTTTATTATTATTTTAAATCAAATAATTTATTGTATTTTATAAATAATTATAAATTCTTATAAAAGTTAGTGCTTTTTTAAATTTAATAATTCAAATTCATTCTTTAAATTAAACATGATAATTTTTACTTATAAATTAAACATTGTTTATAAAATAATTGTAAAAATCGTATTTTATATATATATATATATATATATATATATATATAATATGGAAGATTTTTATATTTAAGATATAATTGAAATATAACTATTAAGAATATAGAATTATTTTAATTTAATATTTTTTATAAATTATAAAACCTAATTCAATTTGATTGAAATTAATTTAAAAAATAGATTAGAAAATTCAAATTATCTAAAGTCAATTTTAGTCCAATTTATTTAGCATTTGATCTCTATGGATTTAGGTTAAATAGATTTATATGTTGACATGTTTTTATAAAATAATTGTTAACTTTTAAATAAAAATAATATTTTTATTTTTATTAATTCGTATACATATATTATAAATCAATTATAAAAAAATTTACTTATTTTATACTATAGTAACTGTTAAAATGAAATATTACTTTGAATTATTTTATTATTAAAAAAAACTTCTAACTCTTATTATTGGAGCAAATGAATTTTTTTTAATTTATATGTTAAATAATTATATTTATAATAAAAATAGTTTATTAGTATAATTTAAAAATTTTAAATATATTTTAAAAAATTATTAGTTTAAATTTTTTGAAAATATTTTTTATCTAAATATTATATATTTTTAATTATAATTAAATCAAATTTGGTATGTTGATTTAATATAAAATCATGTCATACGAAATAAAATATACGATGTTTTAAAATATATGTCAACGTGTTTTTCTTCACCATTTTGATGGCCATAGCTCCATTAAAAAAATATTTAACTTAATTAGCATCACAATAATTTTAAAATATTTATTTGATATTGTTGTATAATATAAACATTACTATATAAGTATTTGAGAGAAATCCATAAGTTTCTACAGCAATAAAAATCCCATGATAATTAAGGTTATATTATTATTTGAGAAATTTTGGATAAATTCAAATATTTAAAATTATTTTAGTCCTAAAATTTTACAAAATACTAAGTGAACCTCTAAGTATTTTTTTTTGTTTAAAAAGGAAAAATTATATTAAAATATTTTAATACTTATGTATAATAAAATAATAGATGAATGAGAAATTTGAGTTATCTTCAGAATAAATATATATATATATATATATATATATATATATAATTACTATAAATATTTGTGCTTAATATAATTAGAATATTTTGTCTCATTTTTATATAATATCGATTATTTCGTTATTCTTTTAGTGATAAAATTAGTTTTATGTTTTATAAATTATTGTTTTATAAATTATTAAGTGATGTGTATACCAATATTTATGTTTTTAATGGTAAGAAAAAAATATTTTGATTTCATATAAGATAATAACTAATGGTAGATGTTTATTATTAGGTTCATATATTTTTGTAGTGAAATTTAAATAATATATTTTTGTAGTGAAATTTAAATAATATATGATAAATGATTTTTTCATATAGTATTTAATTCACTTATATTTTTTATATTTTAAATTATCACTCATATCCTCACTTATCATTTATTAAATTCGTATAAGCATAGTAGTTATATTAACGTTTCATAAGACTTTTTTAAATATCGACAACCACACATATCTCAATTGATTATGATCGAAAACCACACATATGTTAATACATCTCAATTTCAATTGATTATAAGTCACTTTTTTTACTCAAATAATCCTATCTTAGTTTAAAAACATACAATATTATCATATCATCTTACAATCTATTATATATGTGTTTATTACCTTTTTGTCATTTGTAATAAATTGGGTTTGTTTTGAATAAATATTTTAATTGTGTATTTTGTATTTGACCTCTTTATACTTTATTGGATGAAACTTTTTATGTAAATATCTTTTTTGCTAATTATTATTTGGTCAAATTTCTTATTTTTATAGAGCTTTAATTTACATGTATGTGAAATTTGAAATTTAGAATTTTATTTTCTTATGCTAAATTGATCAATTAAAGTGAAAGTTTGGTTGAACAACAATCTCTTTTATCGTTTGAACAAAATTAACCTTATTTGAGTAAATGTTAAGTTAACTTAACTTTCGTTTAAGGAAGTGGCGGATCTTTTTGGGAGTTGAGGGGGTCGTTGATCCCCTCAAAGTTTTGTAACTCTCATAATTTATGATTTTGGCCTTCAAACTTAATAAATATTTAATATATTTACGTGTATATTTACAATTTTATTATTTCAGTCCCTCTTCAGCTTTGTAACTCTCTTATAATTTATAATTTTGTTCCCCTCAAACTTAATGATCATTTAATATATTTAAGTATATATCTACAATTTTATCTTTTCATCATTTCATCTTCTTTCTTCCTTTTATATTTATTTATTATTTATTAATAATATATTATTTGGTCCCCAAGATTAATGGTCAAAATTTGTCACTTTTGAAATATAAGAGTCTCGTTTAAGTCTGTTATCATTTTAGGTCACCTCTTTCATTGCATTATTCTTACTCAAGCGACATAAGTTTCGCTTGAAAATAGAGCCAAGAAATAAAGTTTTTCCAATTTTCAACTTTTTTCCATCTTCGTACTCAATAATCAAACTCATTTATATCACAATAATACATCTAAACATTATACAACACCAAAACAACATAAACATACCTTTCTTTTTTTTCATTATAACATTGTTTCTGGTGGAATTTCGATCGAATTCGATTCTAAGGGTGTTTTGGTCCTAATCAAAATTCTACCACGTAAGTTCTTTTTACTTAGGCTAGCAATTTGATTTTCAATCGAAAATATGCATGAGAATCGAAAATCACAACATATCGAAAAAGCTATTTTTGGTATTTTGTATTTAAAGTACTGAAAGCAGTAAAACTATCGAATCGAAAAACAGAATGTTAAATTGCGAGGAAATGTAAATTACGAGAACCCCAAGTTTGCAATAATTGTAAATGACAAGGAATCGGAAATGACGGAAATGTAAATGGTAGGAAGTTAAGTTCGCATGAAAAACTAAATGACGGAAATCGAAACGTGCGAGAAAATATAAATAATCGAAAACTTAAACGCAGAAACTTAAATTTTCATTAAATTGAAATGACAAGGAATCGAAAGTACAGAAACATAAAACTGCTGAATTTAAATTGCATCAAAGTAA